TTTTATTTTGATATTTTGCATCAGATCCCTGATTTATACTAATTTAGATCTTCTCCTCACCTGTCTCTTGCTCCAGCCACATTGCAGTAGCCATTCTACCTGGGTTCCCTCCACTTTCTTGTAGATATAACCGGAGAATGTGTCACCTAATACACCTGCTGTTTGCCTCTCACTTCCAGCCACGATGCTTTCCTGTTGAACCTGAGAGGAGATGCTGGAGCGTCTCTCAGTGCCCATGTATGTTTATCTGGAATTGCAGGAGGGCTAGTGCCCCTTGGAGTGAAAATCTAAATTAGGTTTGTTAACATTCCACAGACCTATAATACGAGGGTTACGTCTGTTTTCCTGTAATTCTCGTGACTAGTTAGGGCCAAATCCTGGCCATAACTACCTGAAAAATGTTGTTGTCCTTAAAATGATGAGCTTTTTAAAAATGAAATTACTGTGGTACTGCGGCTACAAAGTCTGTGTTGTGTGCTCCGCCCTTTTCTGGTAGTATATAAAGGTCTCAGGGCAAGACATGACATTCAGACTCCAGAAACCTCCATCTGCTCTTCTAAAGAACTACTGAAGCTCCATTTCTTGCCACCATGTGTTGCAACTACTATAGAAACTCATGTGGTAGCTGTGGCTATGGCTGTGGCTATGGCTGTGGCTGTGGTTCTGGATATGGCTGTGGCTATGGCTGTGGATACGGCTCGGGCAGTGGCTGTGGATATGGCTGTGGATACAAGTCTGGCTATGGCTCTGCCTGCTGTGGATGCAGACCATTTTCCTACAGAAGATGTTATTCATCTTGCTGCTAGAACATAACTGAAATACATCTTTTTCTCTAAGACGATTATTCCAAGCCATTTTTGTTTCAGTGTCCCATAATCACACCAGATCTGAATGAAGAGAGTAGTCAGAGTCTGCAGTAAACTGACTGTCTTCTTCAAAGTCTTCATTGTAATTGAGGGGGTCTGAGTTATTCTATGTTTTTGGAAGGAAGACCTCATTTTTGCCATTGTCCAAGGTTAAACTTGTTATCTTCTTATTCTATGTTTCTCTATTGTGATGATTTCCAAATAAAACACGTTTTACTGCTCCTCCCAAGTTTGTGTATCTTTTCTGTCATACATGTCATTGACATATTTTTGTGTATTATTTCTGTGACCTCCTCAGAGATTGACAGGGCTCATGCTAAACTCTTCGTTCCGGTTATGTATGTCTGGCTTCCATTATGACTGGTCAGTATCCATGACATACTGAATATTACATATCTTGTATTTCATCCCTAAAATATTGAACCTTCTTGGCTGAGTCATGTGTTCTTACTTCATTTTACTCAAAGGTTTGTTTTTAAGCATTTGTGTTTCATGATCCTGGAGCTATCCATTTCACTCTTTCCATGTTAACCACACTCATGTATTCAACACACACACACACACACACACACACACACACACACACGCCTCAAAAGTCTGCTTTGGGAAAATGATGCTCGTGAAAAAAATGGGCTGTAAGGGGAGGGAAAGAAGGCTCAATAATTAGGTACAGAAATGACCTGGGGACTGGTTAAATGAACCTGAGTTTAGATGGTAGGATAGATAATGAAAGGGAACAGATGAGCATCAGGGACTTTGTGAAGGTAGAACCTATAAGATCTTAAACATCATCAGTGAAGAAGATGGGAGAAAATCCTAGAGAAGGTAATAGCTAAAAAGTACGTATGTTTTCTTTGCACATAGAATGGTAAGGAATTCAGGGTAGTATATGCAGTTATATATCTGAAAGGCTGGTATAGCAAAATCAATAAGACTAGCATTACAGATGTGTTCTGTGTCTTTCCAGAGACACTAATCAGGGTGGGGTGAATGGGTGATCATAACATACAAATTTCTCAACACAAGAGATCTTTCAATGTGACACCATCTGAAATAAGAGTGATTCCCTCATTAGGTGCTCTATCATGGGATAGATCTAAAACCCTATTACTAGGGTTATTTTGGGGGAGAGGTAGAATTAACCAGGGTTACATATCCATTTCCTGTTCTATTGTAGGATGCTATAGGTTAGAAATGGATTTGAGCTTTGAGACCTGATTGTGATAATGGTGATGCTAATACCAGGAAAATACAGGACCACAAACTTTTATGTTGCCAAATCTAGGGGGAGAAGCTAGATGTAATATGTTTTGGATTGAGAGATCCTATCTTCATTTGGGAGGCAGAAAGACTGTTAGAACTGGAGTCAAAATTCAACCACCCATGGTTAAATAAATTCAGTGTTCTTAATATTCCTTGAATCTTTTTTTTAAAGTTTATTTATTTTGAGAGAGACAGAGACAGTGGGAGTGGGGAAGGTAAGAGAGACAGGGCGAGAGAGAGAGGATCCCCGGTTGACTCCACACTGTCCATGCAGAGCCTAATGCAGGGCTTGAACTCACGGAACCATGAGATCATGACTTGAGCCAAATCCAAGAGTCAGATGCTCAACTGATTGAGCCACCCAGGCGTCCCAGTATTCCTTGAATCTTGAAAGAAATTGCAGGCTTAGCAAAAGGAAGGACACAAGAGGATGATGATAGATTATTCTCCTTGGAAGAAATAGAATCACTTCTTATAAATTAGAGGAATGAGTAGTCTTAATCATCACACATTTGTTGAGTACCTAATAAGAGACATTTCATTATGTTCTATGGACAGAGAATTAAAATACTTTAGCCCCACTTTCTAAAAGTGTGGAAAAGACACATACACAAAATCCTACAAGCTACAAAGATCAGAATATTGCTATAATATAACAAAGGTGTTTGAAAAATACAGAAGGAAAAAACAGAAGAGAGGCCAAGACAAAGAATAAACAAGAAGAGTCAGGCATATTTCTGAAAGAGAGAGAAACTACTAGCTGAAATATGAAAGATGAATAGAAGTTGGTCCATCATAAAGGGAAATAGCCTCTGAACAGGGGAAAAAGATGTAATACGTTTCAGGAAAGGTCTATAGCCTAGAGCCTTATTGCAATAGATATCATCAAAGCTGGAGGAAATGTAATCACTAGTTGGACTTAAGGAATAAATTCACAGGTGTTGGTAGGCTGAAATCAAAGGTGACCTCTAATGACATGCATCCTTGTATGCTTCCCTCCTCTTCAGTGTGAGCAGGTCTTGGAACTTGCCTTTTACCTTTGCAAAGATGATGGGATAGCATTCCTGTGATTATGTTATGTTTGGGGTTAGAAGATAAAACTCAAGATGAATAAATCTGAATTTTAGATGAAAACCAGATAACTTTTTAGTATGTTTCATGCAATATTTGGGGCGTACTGGCTAAATCTGGAAACTCAAGTTTCACAGAAAGAGATTTTTCAGATGTCCTGGCTGATACTTTGAGTGTAATATCATGAAGCCCAAACAGAGATCCTAGGTAGGCTGTGCTTAGACTTCTGATCCACTTAGACTGGAAAGAATAAGTGTATATTGTCCCGAGGTGCTATTTGCGTGCGCGCGCGCGCGTGTGTGTGTGTGATAGTTTACAACAGGCTTTCTCTACTGTTCTCTAAATTATCTGGTAAGAGGTGTGGTTGACTTGGGTGACCCCTATATCATTTCTGTATATCAACAGAGATTAGGAGACAGTCATACCAGTAGGTATTAAGAGTAGACCGCTATAGAGAGAAAGTGAAAGAAAAGTCGAGAGGCACTCTCAGACATACTTGAGGAGACTGGCTTGTGAACACAACATTGAAATAAGTTTTACCTAGGACCCAAAGTGACACTGGGAATAATGAGACTTGAAAGTGTGTGGCGATTTTATAACAGAGTAATTTCACAGCGAAATGGGTCACCATAAGAAACAATAAGTGTTTAAGCCTCTAATGAGTAGAAAGGGACACTTGATGTAATGAAACGAAGAACAGACACTTGATCTTTGTAATGTATTAACTGTGGAGCTTTCGGTAAGGTTCCTAAACCTCTTTGTACTCCAATTTCCATATTACAAGTTATCTACCTCTTTCACAATTTTATTGGGGCCACATAGATTAAAATGTCTGAAGGAAATTTGTGATTTGCAAAAATTTCAAGTCTTTTTTAACATTTTTTTAAAGTTTACTTATTTTTGAGAGAGAGAGAGAGAGAGAGAGAGAGAGAGAGACAGAACATGAGTGGGGAAGGGACAGAGAGAGAAGGAGACACAGAATCTGAAGCAGGTTGCAGGCTCTGAGCTGTTGGCACAGAGCCTGACATGGGGCATGAGCTCACGAGCCATGAGATCATGACCTGAGCTGAAGTTGCTGAAATTGGATGCTTAACCAACTGAGCTACCCAGGCGCACCTCAACAGTCTTTAAAGGGTATTTGTATGTGTGTGTGTTGTTCTGTTTGAACTAAATGAATACCTGGAGTTGATAAAAATTTATTGAGGAATGGCTCTTGGGGTAAAATTATCAGAATATCATATGCATGGGTATTTGGATTCATAGGAACTCTACAACATAGAATGTTGAGGTTCTGAATTGGGCAGCATTAAGTTCCAATGAAATCCCCTATGTAGTATTTAGTAAGCTAGTCAATGTAATTAGTCAAGCTTATTTTAATAGTCATATTTCCAAACCTAAACTTTGCTACCCTCCACAGAGCCTTGTTACATATATCGTTGGAATCATGTGCTCAGATGATTGGATAATTGATGGAAACTTTCTTGACAGATTTGTAATTGGCTCAAGACAATTCCTGGGTGACAAAAACCAAACATGGTTTCCCAATAAAACTGGAGTCTATAATAATTGTTTCATTTAAGATAGATGCTATAGCTGTGAAAAGATCAAGTCCTCTCATTATCAACTGACAGGAGTGACTTATACATGCTAGATATTAAATAAATATTTATTGCATGAATCACAAAATTCATTACATGCCCTGGCCCTTCCTTGTCAGTATATAAACGTTCCAGGGTAGTAGGTGACATTCAAACTTGGGAAGCACTCTTTCCCTCAACGGAAACCTCACCCTCTGCCACCATGTGTTACAACTATTATGGAAACTCTTACGGGGGCTGTGGATATGGCTCTGGTTGTGGCTATGGATATGGCTCTGGCTGTGGATATGGTTGTGGATATGGCTCTGGCTGTGGCTGTGGCTATGGCTGTGGATATGGTTGTGGATATGGCTCTGGCTGTGGCTGTGGCTATGGTTCCAGATATGGCTGTGGCTATGGAAGTGGCTGCTGTACCTGCCGACCATTTTGCTACAGAAAATGCTGTTTTTCTTGCTGTTAGAACATCATCCTAGAATATTGTATGCCTCTGAAGAAATATTTCAAGATTAACATTTTTCCCTAAAAGATGCTTCATTTTATTATCTCTACATGCAAGTAAGAATTGGATTCCACCTGTGTTTACTTCAGAGAACCTGTTATTGAGGAATTATGAATGTTTCCATTATGTTACATGAAAACAGAAGATTTGATTCTGGTTATGTTCAAAATTTAAATTCTTGGTTATCCTGTTCTATGGTTTTGTATTGTCCATGAGCATAAAAACTCCATATGTGGGATAAAAGTATATTTTTTCAATACATAAATTTCACTTGTTCCTGAAAGTTATTGAGTCCTTCGGGCCAGATTCATCACCGACGTTAGTATTTGTGGCTTCCCTGGAAGGTTGGGTAACCACTGTGTGAGCTGAACCTTTTGCTTGATTTTGCTGTTAACATAAGATTGCTCTAAAATGTAAAGTCCAGGGGTGTCTGCCTGGCTCAGTTGGTAGGCATATGACTCTTGACCTTGGGGTGGTGAGTTCCAGCCCCACGCTGGGCATGGAGGCACCTTAGAAAAATATAAAATAAAATGTAAAGTCCAATTAAAAAAATAATATGGTGCTGTTTCAGATAGGAAGATCAGGTTAAAAGTCTGAAGAAGTGACAAGTAGGCTGATATTTGGCAAATGGATAGATGCTAAAATAAGGGGAAGAATGTTGGAGGCAGGAGGGAGAACAGGCGCAAAGCTCTCAGCAGATGGGAGGTTAGTATGCTTAGGGACTGTAAGGAGGTCTGGGGACAGGAGAGCAGAAACCATCTAGACTGGAGAGGTGAGTAGAGGCCAGGTCACGCAAAGCCTTGTGTTATAAGGTGTTAAGATTTGCTTGGATTTTGTTTTAAGATACTTAGTGGTTTATCCAGCCATTTGTTCTTGTCTTTGCAACTTCTTTCCTTTCTGTCTTTTTTCCATCTTTTTTCCATCTTTCATATCAATACTAAACACAAATTCACACCATTTCCGTGTTTCCGCATGTGTGGATTGGACTATGGAAGATTGGAAGAAAGGTATCTTGTTTGGAGCATGTTGGAATAATTGAAGGGGTATAGTGTCTGGTCTGGACTTGGAAATTTGTAAGGGCAGCTCGGAGACGGGGGGAAGGGAGGAAGAGGCTATGAGAGGGGGTACTTACAAGTGTGTACCTCATAGCACTTTGTGTTGACACCACCATTTTCTTCCCATATTTTAAAATATTTGTTACATGGAAGAGAGATCAATATTGGTTTCTTGGTTCCAGGAACCAGAATTAGATGAACATGTATGGAATTAAAAGGAGGCTAACATCTTAATATGTGACAGTTTTAAAACATAACAGGCAAAAATGGATTTTGGTGTCAGAGAGGTTATTCAGCTCTGAGGGTGTCTGGGTATGGGCTACGTTACTACTTACTCTGGTTGTTACAGAGAAATTAAAACACACAGGAGCCAGTTAGATCTGTCTGACTCTTAACACCTCACCCTATTCTAATTTTTAAAAAGTGCTGATCCTATAATGTAAACAATGCCTGCAAGGCATAGAATCAGAGTCACTGAAAAAAGTGGTAATGTTCTTAACAATGATAGGAAAGAAGTGAAATGAAAAACTTTTTATAGATTTGGAAGATGGCCAGAGATAATGAATATATTTTATTACCTTATCCTATAGGAAGGAGACAAGGCATGAGGCTGAGGTAATATGGCAATAGTAACCATATTAGCAAAGTAAGGCTGTAGTATCAGCAGAAGCTTAAACCTAGGTCTGCACTGGTTTGCATTCCCACCAACAGTGCAAGAGGGTTCCTTTTCCTCCACATTCTTGCCAACGCTTGTTGTTTCTTGTGTTTTTGATTTTATCCATTTTGACAGGTGTGAGGTGGTATCTCATTGTGGTTTTGATTTGCATTTCCTTGGTGTTGAGTGTTGTTGAACATCTTTTCATGTGACTGTTGGCCATTTGGATGCTTTCTTTGGAGAAATGTTTGTTCATATCTTCTGCCCATTTCTAATTGGATTATTTACTTTTTGGGTGTTGAGTTGCATAGGTTCGTTATATACTTTGGGTACTAGCACTTTAATGGCTATGTCATTTACAAATATCTTCTCCCATTTAGTAGGTTGCCTCTTAGTTTTGTCAATGGTTTCCTTGACTGTGCAGAGACAGTTAAGAAACAAAACAAATTAGGAAAGGAAAAGAGAGAGAGAGAGAAACCAAGACACAAACTCTTAACTATGGAGAATACACTGATGGTTACCAGATGGGAGGTGGGTCGTGGGGTGGGTTAGATAAGTGATGGAGGTTTAGGAGTACACTTGTGATGAGCACTGGAGGATGTCTGATATTGTTGGATCCCTATTTTGCAAACCTGAAACTAACATAACACTATATGTTAACTATACTGGAATTTAAAATAAAAAAAATACATAAAATAAAAAGAAAAAAGTAAACATGAAAAAAACCTAGACAAAGTAAGATAGAAATATTCCATATTAACCAAAGGCTGCATTACAGACTTCATGGAGGAAAATACTAGGGAGGAGTCGGGAAAAGAAATATGGCATTTGCAAGGATCTTAAGTTACACTAGGAATTTTCCATGGAGGATTCTGAGAGATTTGAATCATATAGAAACTACTAACAAAGAGATTTCACAATAAAATGAGATTGTTTGAAACAATAAATTGAGAATTCCCCAATACTGAAACTATTAAAAGAGAGGTTAGTTGTATCTCCCTATTATATTATTATGTAATACAATAGTACAGATTATATGTCACCTCAAGCAAACTTGGAAATGCAATTTTAATTTGGCACTGAACCCTTCTGAGTGTCAGTCTCTGTTAAATGACATTTTTAATTCACAATTTGATAGTTTCACCAAATGGTTTCACGGCTCACATACAGACAACTGGAAAAGGAATGTTTTCAGCCAATAAAGCATTTTACAGTAGCGAATACTGCCTAGTCGTGTGGGAGGAGCTGGACCAAATCACATTTTGACTCAGATTCAATTGACATCTAAGCAGGAAGAGGGAAAAGAGGGAAAAAGTATATTTGCTGTCAGTGTGATTCTCATAGAACTTTTAATGTATAATCTCGTGAATCAGCAGGAGCCCCTGTACAACGACACATTACTCATCACTCTTGAAACATTCAGCTGCAGTATGGTCACACCGCCAGGCAGCAACTGACTTTACTCTTCCATAGCAAACTGTGGAACTCTGGGAATGCAGAAATTTACTTTCTCCCTATTAAATACATAGGCCTATTCCCAAGGGAGGGGACCGTAACCTCAATAGATGTTTATGATCACTGATCTTCAAAATATGCTATGAAGCTAAGCCCTGTGATGTATGGTTTGATACTACATGTTTATAAAAATATGATTTAAAATGCACCCAACAAGGTTCACTGAGGCCAATTGCATGGTAGTTTGTTTTCTGAGGGAGTTGGGTCACTTTTGAAAACTTATCATGAAAAACATTAATTAACACAGATGCACTTGAAACCAGAGCAACATTACACAACATCTTAAAATTTTAGTACAATAAATATATCGGTATAAGTAAGTGTAGGTATTTGAAAAGCTGCTGTTATTTGGGAATCCTTGTATGTGGATCAAAGAAAGGGGGAAAGGAAAAATAGAATGTATTGAGTCTCCACTATACATCAGGATCTGTGCTATACTCTTTGTATCTCCTATATATTTTCTACAGACATTTTGACAAAATTTTAAATACATGCAGTTATTTTTGTTCCAATTTAGAGGTTATAAAAACTGAGGCTCACAAATCTGAGGACATTTTCCCTGGTCAAATTGTTAGCAAGTGGCTCAGCTGGAAAGGGAATCGATCTGTTTGCCATGGAAAGCTATTTCTATTACAGAGCCTCTGAAACTTGGAGGAGACATGTACCAGTCATCAATTTACTGCTTCTCAGCTTCAAACTCCCCCTTCAGTAGATGCTCTGTGATAACACATGGGATTCCTTTAGGCATTTTTTTCTTTGCTGTGAGCATGGTATGAAGCTTTCTCAGTAGCGGGGGGTGTTGGGACATTGCAAGAGGAAGTAGTTCTGAATTTTTTGGGTGCAGCACTGGAGGGAAGGGGAGGGTGTTCAGTAGTGTGGATGTGAAGACATCTGGGGGAGCTCTACTCAGTCAAGAGTTGAGGATGTGAGGGATCCTCAGTGATGCCGGAGCCTCAGACTGACAAGAATCTTTATTGGCTCCCCTCCGTATGGAAACCTGTACCTTGAAGACTTCTCATCCACGAATCCCTGTTGACCTCCTGCCCTCAAAGACACCCAGATTCCCTCTACAGGAATTCCCCATCCTCCGACTGCCTGTATCCCAGAGCTTCCCAGGCCCTCTACACGCCCACACCATCGGTTGCTTGTTTTTCATCTGCGTTCCAGAAAGAGTTGTCTCCTACTTGGTCAATGACTGTGGAACTACCCTGGTCTGGCCAAACCAGTGAACCTCTCTCTGCTTTCTAGTGGGCTGAACTAATCTTTTCAAGTTTTTTTTTTTTTTTTTTAATTTTTTGAGTAGTCTCTCACATTCTTAGGGTACCATATAGAATTTCCTCATATCATATAGCTACTCTTTTATCATGGTTTAATAATTTTGTTTCACATTAAAATTTCTGTTTATCCTACTATGTAGTTTCTGTCTCCTGATTAGAATCAGACTGATATAGAGGTCTTTAGTTTTAGGAGTCATCTGTGTGTTTACAGTGGTCAAATCAGTGGCAGCAGATAAGATTTAATAGTGTATAAGGTGAAAAGCAAAGATGTAGGATAAAGTAACCACAAGAAGCCCAAAACTTAGGGAAAAGCAAGGAAAGATTGTTAATGAGAGAGATGTCCTGGACCAGAAGCCCATGCATAAGGGAAATGGTGGTAAAAGAGGATATCAAATTAAAAGTAAGGATGAATAATAAATACCATGGAAAGGTCACTATTATTAATGTCATGATGCAAGG